AGAAGCATCTCAAGGTCCTGGAGTGGCCTAGCCAGTCTCCAGACCTGAACCCATAGAAAATCTTTGGAGGGAGCTGAAAGTCCGTATTGCCCAGCGACAGCCCCGAAACCTGAAGGATCTGGAGAAGGTCTGTATGGAGGAGTGGGCCAAAATCCCTGCTGCAGTGTGTGCAAACCTGGTCAAGACCTACAGGAAACGTATGATCTCTGTAATTGCAAACAAAGGTTTCTGTACCAAATATTAAGTTCTGCTTTTCTGATGTATCAAATACTTATGTCATGCAATAAAATGCAAATTAATTACTTAAAATCATACAATGTGATTTTCTGGATTTTTGTTTTAGATTCCGTCTCTCACAGTTGAAGTGTACCTATGATAAAAATTACAGACCTCTACATGCTTTGTAAGTAGGAAAACCTACAAAATTGGAAGTGTATCAAATACTTGTTCTCCCCACTGTACATCCATACACACACACATATCCTTTTTTAAATTATATTTCCCTTCATTACTTTCCAACCCCACCACCCCTTCCCCAATTGGAGTAAACTAGTGAACAGCAATGCTTCGGCCTCTACTTCCAGCCCATACATACTATATACATTGTATGGACACAGTCAAATTCTACAATAATTATATTTTGTTTGTTTTTACTCCTGAACTTCCTCCGATCATTTTCATGATGTCCTTGTTTGCACAGGGAAGAGAACAGTCATCTCTGGCCCCCTGCTGTGCTATAGAAGGGGTTCGGAACGTTACAGCCGCCTCGCTGCCCTAAACGAGTTCCTGAAGAAACTCTGCAAAGACAGGAATGTCTCCTATTGTGACAATTTTGACTTGGAGTGGGAGCAACCAACACTCTTTAAAAGAGATGGGATTCACCCTAACCGCAGGGGTTCCAGGATTATCTCCATCAACATAGCGAACTGCTTAAGAGACTGATAGTCCGGGTTTGGTAGCGTTCCAGTCCTCCCTGTCATAACAAGCAACAAAAGACATGGACATTGTATTATATCCCAGAGAAATAGAAGTGAAGTAAATGTAAGTAACCTAATCTATGTTCCTTTAACTGTTAGCTCCGAGGATATTGTCTGCAATAATCACATGCACATATAATTTAATTCCACTGTTTGCACTGAAACAGTCTGCCTTAGGAAGAAGCCCATTGCGGGCAGCCCACTCAGTACCATTGACTCAAATTTAAATGTCACTGAGAATACCACTAAAAACAAACAAACAACCCATAAAAAGACAAAAAACAGCCCATATTAATATATGAAGCCTGAGAAACAAGGTTCATGAAATTGACAACTTATTAAGGTCAGAAAAAATTTATATTCTGGCCATCTCTGAAACACACTTAGATAATTCATTTGATGATGCAGTAGTAGCTATACATGGTTATAGAATATATAGGAAAGATAGAAATGCAAATGGAGGTGTTGTCATGTACAGTGGGGAGAACAAGTATTTGATACACTGCTGATTTTGCAGGTTTTCCTACTTACAAAGCACGTAGAGGTCTGTCATTTTTATCATAGGTACACTTCAACTGTGAGAGACGGAATCTAAAACAAAAATCCAGAAAATCACATTGTATGATTTTTAAGTAATTAATTTGCATTTTATTGCATGACATAAGTATTTGATGCATCAGAAAAGCAGAACTTAATATTTGGTACAGAAACCTTTGTTTGCAATTACAGAGATCATACGTTTCCTGTAGGTCTTGACCAGGTTTGCACACACTGTAGCAAGGATTTTGGCCCACTCCTCCATACAGACCTTCTCCAGATCCTTCAGGTTCGGGGCTGTCGCTGGGCAATAAGGACTTTCAGCTCCCTCCAAATATGTTCTATTGGGTTCAGGTCTGGAGACTGGCTAGGCCACTCCAGGACCTTGAGATGCTTCTTACGGAGCCACTCCTTAGTTGCCCTGGCTGTGTGTTTCGGGTCGTTGTCATGCTGGAAGACCCAGCCACGACCCATCTTCAATGCTCTTACTGAGGGAAGGAGGTTGTTGGCCAAGATCTCGCGATACATGGCCCCATCCATCCTCCCCTCAATATGGTGCAGTCGTCCTGTCCCCTTTGCAGAAAAGCATCCCCAAAGAATGATGTTTCCAACTCCATGCTTCACGGTTGGGATGGTGTTCTTGGGGTTGTACTCATCCTTCTTCTTCCTCCAAACACGGCGAGTGGTGTTTAGACCAAAAAGCTCTATTTTTGTCTCATCAGACCACATGACCTTCTCCCATTCCTCCTCTGGATCATCCAGATGGTCATTGGCAAACTTCAGACGGGCCTGGACATGCGCTGGCTTGAGCAGGGGGACCTTGCGTGCGCTGCAGGATTTTAATCCATGACGGCGTAGTGTGTTACTAATGGTTTTCTTTGAGACTATGGTCCCAGCTCTCTTCAGGTCATTGACCAGGTCCTGCCGTGTAGTTCTGGGCTGATCCCTCACCTTCCTCATGATCATTGATGCCCCACGAGGTGAGATCTTGCATGGAGCCCCAGACCGAGGGTGATTGACCGTCATCTTGAACTTCTTCCATTTTCTAATAATTGTGCCAACAGTTGTTGCCTTCTCACCAAGCTGCTTGCCTATTGTCCTGTAGCCCATCCCAGCTTTGTGCAGGTCTACAATTGTATCCCTGATGTCCTTACACAGCTCTCTGGTCTTGGCCATTGTGGAGAGGTTGGAGTCTGTTTGATTGAGTGTGTGGACCGGTGTCTTTTATACAGGTAACGAGTTCAAACAGGTGCAGTTAATACAGGTAATGAGTGGAGAACAGGAGGGCTTCTTAAAGAAAAACTAACAGGTCTGTGAGAGCCGGAATTCTTACTGGTTGGTAGGTGATCAAATACTTATGTCATGCAATAAAATGCAAATGAATTACTTAAAAATCATACAATGTGATTTTCTGGATTTTTGTTTTAAATTCAGTCTCTCACAGTTGAAGTGTACCTATGATAAAAATTACGGACCTCTACATGCTTTGTAAGTAGGAAAACCTGCAAAATCGGCAGTGTATCAAATACTTGTTCTCCCCACTGTATTGAAGCAACATCTCAAGACATCAGTTAAGAAGTTAAAGCTTGGTCGCAAATGGGTCTTCCAAATGGACAATGACCCGAAGCATACTTCCAAAGTTGGGGCAAAATGGCTTAAGGACAACAAAGTCAAGGTATTGGAGTGGCCATCACAAAGCCCTGAATTTGTGAAGGCCTACAAACCTGATTCAGTTACACCAGCTCTGTCAGGAGGAATGGGCCAAAATTCACCCAACCTATTGTGGGAAGCTTGTGGAAGACTACCCGAAACGTTTGACCCAACTTAAACAATTTAAAGGCAATGCTACCAAATACTAATTGAGTGTATGTAAACTTCTGACCCACTGGGAATGTGATGAAATAAATAAAAAATGAAATAAATAATTCTCTCTACTATTATTCTGACATTTCACATTCTTAAAATAAAGTGGTGATCCTAACTGACCTAAGACAGGGAATTTTTACTAGGATTAAATGTCAGGAATTGTGAAAAACTGATTTTAAATGTATTTGGTTAAGGTGTATGTAAACCTCCGACTTCAACTGTACATATGCACTGAGTTTGTCTGATGCTTTAAGCACACCGTTTGATTAAATATACAAGACACACAAATGAAGAAAGACCCCGATGGTCCCACTGATGGTCCCACTGTGTTAAAACAAATGACAGCGAGTGCCTGTGTGACTGGCGCACGTTGTTTCACTCTCCTCCCTACTGCTGCGAAAAGGCACCACAGCATTGCAAGTGTTTATTACGCTGTCCGTGCTGAAGCTGCAACATCATTTCAAGCCATTTAGTTTCTTACTTGTTTCTGACTGAAAAGTTCTGTTACTGAAATCCCTAATTTGTTTAGAAAAAACATTTCCTATTCCCTCAACCCTTGCTCTCTTTACGTGAAACATGTAAACCAGGCTATAGGTCAGACCAATAAGGCCTGACCTATAGCCTATCATAATCACATCAATAAATTGGTTATAACAAACTCCAAACACAGTAACACGTGACAGCAAAATGGATGTGGAGGACGTGAAAAATAAACTTGAAACTGGCAAATGTTTACTGGTTGCTCAGGAGGGAAAGGGGAAGTCAGATCTGTGGAATACATTTTACTTAGTTGCGGAAACTGCTGGAGATCAAGAAAAATGAGGGTATAGGAGCAAGCGTTGCGTGAGTATTATGTGTGCCAAACAGTTGCTGTTAGATTACATTACATTATCATTTGGAACAGAGTAAACAATACTAAATAAAGAAGTGTACCAAATATATATAAAGCCTTTATTACAGCAGTCTAAAAACAGTTGCATGCATTCATGAACTGCGGTTTATTTATTGTTTAGGTTATTATTCAAAGCTCCCTTTGTTATTTAATTTAAAAACTAAAATGGTTGATTGCATTTCAAAGTATGAATGTCTCATATGCTATGTGATGGCATGAACGAATGAATGATTGATTGATACAGTAGCCTATATATTGAAATATAGGCCTAAGTAAGTTACGGTATTAAGACTAAACAGGACGCTCTTAGGCCTACAGCTCGATGGTGGTTATACAAGGCTACTATACAAAGCCTACTAATGATAACGACATTACTTATCATTATAATGATGATCACAATAATAATTGTAATAATAACAATAAGAAGGAGATCATGAAAAAGGAGGGTATGGGAGCGAGAGCTGCGTGCATATTATGTGTGACAAACAGCTGCTGTTAGATTACAATATGATTTTTCTTCCTGTTTGGAACAGTGTAAACACTAAATAAATTATAAGTAATACCAGTCTGTTCTACATACAGTAGCTAATTGATACCCTTTTTAGGCCTACAAAATGTCCAAAATGTCCACAGTATGGCAGCATTTCATTGTAGTAAAGGATGATGCCATAAAAGTGGAATGCAAACTCTGCAAACAGCGGTTTGCTTACCATAGTTAGACAACGAATATGACATACCACTTGAACAGTAAGTTAGCCTAGACTACTTAGTTTTTGTAGTTGCATGCTCAAACATTGGCATGTTTTATATGCTTGATAGGTGAACATTTCCAAATTGAATAGGCATATTACAATGTAATAAGAGTATAACACATAGCATACAGAATTAATTTAAATGTACTTAATTGAAACGTTGTGTATTTATAGGCGCATCCCCAGTGCAGCATGAGTGCCTCCACTGCTAGCTCAGGTTTAACCCAAACCACCTTGGACCTGAAGCCCCCCCATCTCAGAAAAAATAAAAAGAGAGATAACCGATGGTATCGTGGACTTCATTGCCCTGGACATGAGGCCCATTAACCTGACAGAAGGCGTGGGGTTTAAGATGATGATCAAAATCTTGGTGCCTGGTTACACCGTTCCCAAGAGAGAAACTATTATGCATGCTCTGACTGCGAAATATGATAACACAAAAGAGAAGGTTTTGGAGTCTATCAAAAACAGCCAGGCTGTAAGTTTTACAACTGACATGTGGACCTCACTGAGAATGGAGTCTTACATGACTGTCACTGCACATTTCATTACTGAGGCCTGGAAACTGCAGTGTCTTGTGCTGGTGACAAAATAAATGGAGGAGAATCTCACTGCAGCCAACATTGGGCAGAGATGCATATGAAATTCCTGGATGTAAAAGGGTGGCTGTGGTACATGATAACACCGCAAACATGGTTTTGTGTGCAGATATACTGGAGCAGGAAGAGGAATGGGCAGACGTAAAAGGAGTCAGATGTGCTGGACACACCTTACAGCTATGCATCAACACCGCTCTCAGACAAGATCCCATCTGTCGCACTGTGGCTGCAGCCAGACACCTCGTGGCTCATTTTAAGAAGGGAGCAAAAGCCAGAAAGGGACCGAAGGAGGAACAGAAACAACAAAAGGTGATTGAACACCTCCTGATCCTAGACATTTCCACGCGATGGAACTCTTTTCAGACCATGTTAGAGCGTCTGCTAGAACAGAGATTGCCCGTAACAGCAGTGCTCTCTGACCCCAACTACACTGGGAAAAATGAACGCTACCGTGATCTCAACACAGCGCAATGGAACATGGCAGAGGACATTTTGAATGTGCTGAAGCCGATGGTCACCCTGACTGAGCTGCTGTCCAAGGAGGACAACGCATCCATACCCATGCTGGCCAACCTGAAACGCTGCCACTTGGCCGTAGTGGAGGATGACAGCCCCGACACTAAGAGTCTTAAAACAAAGCTGGTGTGTGAAAATGAAAAAATCGCAGCTCAACGACCGACTACTTGAGAGTAGTCTATATGTCCAAGCAGCAGTCGTAGACCCCCGCTTCAAGCTGCTTTTGTTCGTTGACGATGCAAAACGAGACGAAGCCTACATCAACGTGTCCCAGCTGGCCGACCATTTGAGCACGGTGCAGCCTGAGCAGCCAAAGCCCGCTGAGGGAGATGAAGAGGAGGAACCCGCACAACAACAAAAAAAGAACCCGGACAAGGAGCGGGAGATCGATATGCTCATGTGTGGAGATGATGGAGAGAAAGAGGATCAAGGGGATAGCAAAGAAGAAATGAAGGATTATCGCCAAGATAGAACGAAAGTCGACGCTGGACCACTAGCTTGCTGGGGAAAAAACGAAGACAGGTATCCGAAGCTAGCAGCGAAATATTTCCTCTCCATCCCTGCCACCTCCACTCCATCAGAGCTGATCTTTTCCAAGGCTGGGTTTATAGTCAATAAAACGAGGACCTGCCTTCTGCCCCAAAATGTTGACAAATTGGTGTTCCTGTCTCATAACTTGAAAAATAACTTGAAAAGATTGGGGAAATAGGCTATGGCTATTAAGCGGTCTATGTGAGTAAGTAGGCCAGTCCAATACAGTTGACAGATAGAGAGATGATTAACCTATTACGCAGGCTGCTAAATGTTTGGAATTGTGAAATAGCCTATGCTTATGTCTTTTTGGTAGCCTGGGCCTATACAAACCATTGTATGTTCAGCATTAGAGTTTATAAGCTGATGTTGAAGGCAGTTTAAATAGCCTAGCCTACTGTTGTGATAGCCTACAACTATTTTGTTATTCATTTATTTTCTTCGTTATTAAACATAATATATTATTTACTGTTCAATGTTCAGCTATGTTAATGATATATTTACCGTAATACTGTTCAACTATGTTGATTGAATACTAGGCCTACTGGCGGTAACGGCTGCTGTTCGTCATTTATTTTATTAAGCACAATTTTATTGTTTGTTCAATTTGTTGTGTTCTTAATAATAAACCATCTCCTCTTTATTTTATAGGCTATATGTTTTTTTTTTTCATTTAGCAATATACACTGCTCAAAAAAATAAAGGGAACACTTAAACAACACAATGTAACTCCAAGTCAATCACACTTCTGTGAAATCAAACTGACCACTTAGGAAGCAACACTGACTGACAATACATTTCACATGCTGTTGTGCAAATGGAATAGACAACAGGTGGAAATTATAGGCAATTAGCAAGACACCCCCAATAAAGAAGTGGTTTTGCAGGTGGTGACCACAGACCACTTCTCAGTTCCTATGCTTCCTGGCTGATGTTTTGGTCACTTTTGAATGCTGGCGGTGCTTTCACTCTAGTGGTAGCATGAGACGGAGTCTACAACCCACACAAGTGGCTCAGGTAGTGCAGCTTATCCAGGATGGCACATCAATGCGAGCTGTGGCAAGAAGGTTTGCTGTGTCTGTCAGCGTAGTGTCCAGAGCATGGAGGCGCTACCAGGAGACAGGCCAGTACATCAGGAGACGTGGAGGAGGCCGTAGGAGGGCAACAACCCAGCAGCAGGACCGCTACCTCCGCCTTTGTGCAAGGAGGAGCAGGAGGAGCACTGCCAGAGCCCTGCAAAATGACCTCCAGCAGGCCACAAATGTGCATGTGTCTGCTCAAACTAGGGCTGAACGATTAATTGCATTCGCGATAATATCGCGATTTGACTGAACGCGATTTTCTAATCGCAACGTGCGCGATTTGAGGTGGTCACGTGACGCGACTTTTCATGCTGTCCAGCGCAATGGCCTCTTGCTCGACGGAACAGTCAGAAACTGACACAGCTGATACTTTAATATCGAAGAGGAACAGCACGTCGGTGGTGTGGAACTATTTTGGTTTTAAAAAAGAAGATGCTGAGCAGCGTCAGGTGTTGTGCAGAGCATGCCGTGCTCCGATTGCTACTTCACGGGGTAACACTACAAACCTGTTTCAGCACTTAAAAAAATACCACAAATCAATGCATGACAGTTGTATGACCAAAATGCCGAGCATCAGTGCGCGAGACAAGCCAAATACCTCAAGACAGGGATCACTGACAGAAATGTTCGAAAGTGTCACTCCGTATGAACGTAATTCAAAACGGCACGGAGAAATCACTCGGACAATAACCGAGTTCATAGCCAAAGATATGATGCCTCTCAGCACGGTGACCAAGCCTGGGTTCATGGCATTAATACATACGCTTGATAAACGTTACAGTATACCCTCCCGCACATACTTCAGTCAGACTGCCATACCGGAGCTGTACAAAAAGTGCAAAGAGAAAGTCGCCGCGGAACTTAAAACGGTGGAGTTTTTTTGCTAGCACTACTGATATGTGGTCAAGCCGCACAGCTGAGCCGTACCAGAGTCTTACAGTCCATTTTATTGATGAAGATTTCAACCTCCGAGCTCGCTGCCTACAAACTACCTACTTCCCAGACGATCACACAGGGGAAAATATTGCAGCCGGCCTGAGAGAAGGGCTTGTCAGCTGGGATCTCCACGAGGAGAATCACGTCTGCATCACGACGGACAACGCGTCGAATATGGTGCTTGCTGCGCGGCTTAATGAATGGACGAGGCTCCAATGTTTTGGCCACAGATTACATCTTGCCATTGGTAAGTTATCGTGTGTGTGTGTGTGTGTGTGTGTGTGTGTGTGTGTGTGTGGTGTGTGTTGTGTGTGTTGTGTGTGTGTGTGTGTGTGTGCGCGAGTGCGAGAGAGAGAGATGCGTCGATTAGTAAAGCTGAATATACAAATATATATAAATGATATTATATAAATCGGATGGGATTAAATAAATTCATACTTCCACTCCTTTTCTAATATGTAAATTCATTTTACTTGCTTATATCATATGTCTGTCTGTGGTGGAATGCCCACCTGCATTTTTTTTCTTTTCTTGTTTTTGTTTTTTACATGTTTTTTTAGTGTTTATGAGAGAGAGAGAGAGAGAAAGAGAGAGAGAATTGACATGCAAATAAAGACCCTTTGAATTGAGAGAGAGAGAGAGGATGTGTTGTGGATGTGTGTATTTCAGAATTACAGCTAATTTGAGTGTGTAATAGTGAGAGCCTTGTATCAAAACTCAAATTGTGTGTAATACACTACTTTTTATTTCTTTTAGAAAATGCACTCAAAGATGACAGAGTGTCAAGGGCAACAGCACTGTGCAGGAAGCTGGTGGGGCACTTTTCCCACAGTTGGAAGAAGAAAGCAGCCCTGACGGAGGCACAGAGAGAGCTCAAACTCCCTGAGCACAACCTCATAACGGAGTGCCCAACAAGATGGGGTTCTAAAGAAATGATGATTGCCAGAGTGCTTGAACAGGCCAAAGCCATTTCTCAGGTATTGTCTGGAGATCGATATGCACGCTCCCTTATCCCAACCTGGCAGGATATTGACGTGTTGGAGTCGATTCACAAGGCACTGCATCCTCTACTGGAGTTTACTGATGCTCTTTCTGGAGAGGAGTATGTAAGCATCTCCTACCTCAAGCCAGTTCTCCACCTTTTTGCCACATCAGTCCTGGCTGAAGATGCTGAGGACACTGACCTGACTAAATCAATAAAAACCAAAGTCCTAGCATACCTCAATAACAAATATGGAGACCCAAACATCCAGGAGCTTTTGGATGTTGCCTGTTTCCTGGACCCTAGGTTCAAAATACAGTACATCAGTACAGACAACATCCCTGCTATCAAGACTCGTCTGAAGACAGAGATAGTAGACTTGGCACAACGTACATATCATTGGGTAAATAATTATGTATTTCACAAAAACAAAAATTTTCTGTAAAATCTAACTGGAAAACTAATGGCTGTTGTTTTCATCTAATAGGAGAAGAGGTCTCGTACTGAAACTGTTCAGATGCCTCAAAGTGCACAGTCCTTGGGGGAAAAGACGAAGAGGTCTCTTGGCAGTTTTTTCAAGACCAGTTCAGCCTCTCCTTCTTTGCCTGTAAATCTTGAAGATGTCGCAGAGGCAGAGATAAACAATTACCTGATGACTCCTACCATTGATGGAGAAGATGATCCATTGGCTTGGTGGAGGGTGCACAAGATCAGCTACCCACAGTTGTGCACCATGGCACGCAAGTATCTTTGTGTACCTGCTACAAGCGCTCCCTCAGAGCGTCTTTTTAGCACAGGAGGGAATATTGTGACTTGCACTCGCTCAGCCTTGAAGCCAGAAAAAGTCAATATTCTGGTTTTCTTAGCAAAAAACCTGTGAGCCACTGAGAACAGAACTGTTGGATAAGTATGGCTGGCAGTGCCATACTCGTAGTGAACTTTAGTCTGTGTGGTGTGTTATTGTTGTGTACTTGAGATAAGTGAGGCTCATCTATTTTATATTATAATATTCAAATCGTTTATAAAAAATAGTTTGTCTAAATTAAAAGTGCATTTCTCATTTTTTATTTATAACTTTATTTACTTTGATTTTACAAAATATTTTCAAAGCAAATTCCTTGTTTCAGTTGTGTGAAATGTTACTGACTTGGGAGCAGTAAGATACATACAATTTAAAATTATTTTTTTCTTAAGACTGTACCTTTTGCACACAGTGTTTACAAAGTTCATGCCTTTGTTTAAATTATTTAAATGCACAGTGGCAAAGCCACAGATGTTTCTGTAATGAGCAGTTCAATAAAAATGTCATTTATTTCAAGTCATACATGTTTGAATTTAATTCTAACAAATAGACCCAGCCTATGGGAAAGAACATTTCACACTAAATGTATATACTATTGTGTTGGTCATATTTAAATCATTCATTATGTTTTGTAGGGGAAAAAGGATAAATAAATTAAATCGCATATTAAATCGCAATCGCAATATTGGGGGCAAAAAATCGCAATTAGATTATTTTCCAAAATCGTTCAGCCTTAGCTCAAACGGTTAGAAACAGACTCCATGAGGGTGGTATG